TGCCCCAGTTGGGTGGGTTTGGGAGCCCTGCTCACCACCTCCTGGCTGGGTGGATGAGGTTTTCCTAACACAGCCAAGGCCTGCTTGTCCCTTTGGCGTCCCCCCTGGGGGCCAGCCTTTACGTGGGGACTTCTTTTATTTATTTATTTATTTATTTTTTCCTTTTTGTCTTTTTTTCGTGACCGGCAACGGATTGCAACCCTCAGTGTCGCGCCCGTACCCGGCCGGGACTGGCAACGGGATTGCAACCCTTGGTGTTGCGCCTGCACCTCGCTCAGCCAGTGAGCGGTCTGTCTGTATGTGGGATCCGAACCCTTGGCGGGAGCGCCGCCGCGCTCCCAAGCGGCGCACTGTAGCAGTGCACCACCGGGCCAGCCCTACGTGGGGACTTCTAAAGGCCTACACAGCACCCAAAATTCAAAAATTTGGTTACCTCTAAACTGATGTTTTGCAGCCATGGGTAATTTGCCCTCATGGGACACTGGGCAATGTCTGCCGACATTTGTGGTTGTCATGACTGAGGAGGGGGGTGCTCCTGGCATGGAGTAGGTGGAGGCCAGCGAAACTGCAGGGAAGCCTCACCACTGAGAATGAGCCACTCCTAATGTCCACAGTGCCGAGGGGGAGAGACCCTGGTCTAAATGTAGCTCGTTTTGAGAGAGATATAATGAGCCACCTACTATGGGCTGGGCCCTTCGGAGGATGCAGTACTGGGTAAAACATTATACCAGCCCTCCAGGAACTTGGAATCAGGCAGTCACATCTTAACTAAACTTCATTGCAATTATGGTGCATTTAAAATTAATAACAGCTTCATGGAGAAATAATTCACATACTGTGCAATTCACTCAATGAAAGCATGCAATTCAGTGGTTTTTACCAGTTTTATATACACAGGGTTGTATAACCATCACCACTATCAGATTCCAGAACATCTTCATCACCCTACAAAGAAATCCCACATCCATTAGAAGTCACTCCCCCATCTCCCCCAGCCCCTGGCAGCCACGAACTCACTTTCTGTCTCTGTGGATTGTCTGTTCATATAAATGAAGTCATACACTGTGTGGCCTTTTGTGTCTGGCCTCTTTCAGTGAGCATGATGTGTTCAAGGTTTGCCTGCGTGGTAGCGTGTGTCAGAGCTTTGTTCATTTCCACGGTCGAGTCATATTCCAGTGTGTTCATGAACCGTATTTGATTTATCCATTCATTGTCTGATGAGCATATGATACGTTTTTAGAAGTTTGGGAACCTACGGAGTGCCAAGAGAGTATAAAACCACCAGACCCTAAACCAGATCAGCAGGATCATGGAAGGTGCTTAAGCTGTGAGTTTAAATAAGAGTTACGGAGGCTGGGGGCTGAAGGGACGCTCAGACGAAGGAAGCACGCGAGACCGGGCTAACAGTTCGCCAGAGAAGTTCCGCTTTATTCAAGGACTGCGCGTACATTTATACGGTGCTGTGCTTCGGGGCGCGAGAGAGAGTGGACGGGGCTGTAACTGATTGGATGGGGCTGGGCAGGAGGTGAGCCTTGACCTGTGACTGGCTGAGGTTTGGCACGGGTGGGCTTGGGTGTTGGCGCCAGCAGGCTTGTCTACTGTGGAGAAGAACCAGGAAGGGCGCCATATTGCCAGGGTGTGTCCCTGTTCAGGCGCCCATGGGGTCCCTACAGGGGCTTCTTGGCCCAGCCAGACATTTTGACTTGCAAAACTGCCATGGGTCACATTTGTCACCTGTGTCCTTGAAGACACCAGACATTTTTCTTCAATGGGAGAGGTCCTTATACAGCTATTCAGGTGACAGCTCAGTTGCCAAAAGGCAAGTCCAATTACATTACAACCGGACAAGCAAGAGCCCCGCCTCTATCCCTGAGGGGGCCCCCCCCTGGGGTGGGCTTTCATTGTGACTCCACCCTTCCCTGTGTTCTGACCACACCCCCATTCCTTTCATCTTTCTCTTCTACCAATGGGCTGTGAGCATGGAGGCCACGCCCACTTCACTGTTGCCTAGCACCGCCTGCTCCCTACTGCTCTGGTTCAGTCGCTGATCCGTGCCTTAGCTGAAGGGAGTGATTCTCTAGCGCTTGGATGATGGTGATGCGGGCCCCCCTTTCCTTTTCCTTGTCCCGAGATGTCAGAGGAAATCCCATGGAAGAAATTAGCTAGGGCCAAGAAGAAGGTATAACATGCTGGGTCATGGCCCCGGGCACAGCCCGAAGCCCCTCCTATGGTGAGACAGTGGCCAGAGTCTGTGTCACTTCTGAGGCACATAGGGGGTGCCCCTCTGTGCCTCTTGACTCCCCCCACCAAAGTCTTCTCAGCTATCCCTGCCCCCTGAGCAGCCCAGCCTTTGCCCTTGCTAGGTGCTCCTGGGTGACTTTGGGCTGGTAGGGTGACTCCTGGGGCTCCCCACCCTGGATTGGCCCTGGCCTCTAAGCGTTTTCACCCCCTTTCTGGCTTCTCTGGTTGTGGCACAAATTTCCACCTGGAAGGCTACTGGGGACTAGGGGGCCCAGGACCGAGAGGTTTCTGGCTCCCTACTCCCTTCACTTAGACATTGACGACCTGAAAAGCCTACATTGCACCAGTGAACTCAAAGTGTTGACAATTTGTCTGGGTGACAATTGGGAGAACGGGTTTGGTTTTCTCACAGGTTTCGACTCTCTAGACATACTTTACGATTTATTTCTGAGTCTGTATCTGACCTTCCAATTCTCTAGGATTCTGGGATCAGAGCGCCTTTCAGTCTGTGCTCTCTGGAGGGAGATGTGCTTATCTCCTGTGGAACAGGTCCTGGGCAACTGAGCTTCACAGCTTGAATCTTGCCCACATCATCTCAATCTGGGGTGCCACAGGATTCACAAGGGCATCTTTCTGAAGAATCAGATTTGCTTGATTCTTTTGAGAGAGAGAGAAAGCCTATTAATGTACTTAGGGATGACATTCACCTAATCTTAGGGGTGAGATTTGTAAGATCTTAATGGACTTCTCTCTGAGATGATGCTTGGGTTGTCCTCTTTCTGTTAGGTCACCAGACCCCTAGGGGTGTGTCCTCACGGACTCCTGCCATTAGGAATCACTGACATAAACGTCAGAGAAGTACTGGTGTGCAGCTGCCCCAGCTCTTTAGGAGAGGACCCTGATGTCTGATTTGTATTTTGCCCCCTGGCAGCTGCTGAATCATAACAAAAACCCAGAAGACTGAAGTTAAATTTCATTATTGCCTTTTTTTAGTCCTGTTTTCAGTCCATTTCTTCAGCTACTTGGTGATCATTACAACACTTTGTAGGGATGCTGGCAGCATTAAATGAGATGGTAGAAATAAGAATATTTTGTAAACACTGTAAAGTAAGATGAGAATATAGGGGCTTATAGAGCTCTGAATATTACCGCTTTTCCTTTTCACAGTTAAGGGAGT